ATAAAACACCCAATGTGATCACTAGCACTTGGAATGCTGGTATTGGGAAGCCCGGGATTGGGACTCGAACACCAGCCAGTCTAGCCTAATTGTTGAGCTCCAGGTCAATGAGAGATTCTGTCTCAAAGGAGGTGGATGGCACTCCTGGGAATAACACCCAAGGTTGTCATCTGGCCTCCATACACACATGTATGAACTTGAGCACGCACAACTTGCACACTAGCGCCCTTAGGAGGGGTGTCCAACCTTCTGACATTATACTGTGAAGTCATCTACAAATGTGCTGGGCTATGTATTTGGTTTGGACATTTAGAGGTGGGATTTGACAGGCTCAATACAGTCTCAAGGTATAGGCAGGTAAGAACTTAAGCCTTGGGGCTGGAGAAATAGCTCAGTAGCTCAGAGTACTGGCTGCTCTTGCAGAGGACTCGGGTTCAATTCCCAGCACCCACATGGCAGCTAACAACCATCCATTATCTCCAGTTCCAGGGGATCTGGCGCCCTCTTATGACCTCCGCAGGCTTTGCACAACACGGGTGCACACACATACATGCAGGCAATACACTCATACACCCAAAATAATAATCACCATCATCATCATCATCATCACCATCATCATCATCATCATCTAAGCCTTGTGATGATCCTTTTATTTGAAGGCATGCTTCAGTCAATTTGATGAGTGAAATAACTAATTAAATTTGGATATGGATAGTATAGTATAAAAAAGAGTGATTGTAGGTAAAAACGCAGTTATATACAGAGACAGCAAGTAAGACAATTAAAGATTAATCATTTCCCATATTTTTAAATGAATCTCAATGAATAGAATTAGATTTTTCTTCTTCACTGATACACATGATCACTACTGTACAGTCTTTTTAAAATTAATTTGGAAGTTTTATTGGAGATATGATTATCATGCAATTAACTGGCCACATTCAATGTGTAGAATGTGGTAAGTACACACACACACACACACACACACACACACATACACACACACACAAACACACACATTCATCATAATTAATATAGCCATGGTACTAGTTTCCTAGGCTATGATAAAGTATAATAAAGTTCATAAACTGCATGACTTACAGCAAAATTATTCTCCAGAAGTTCTGAAGACTAGAAGTCCAACATTTACAGTGTTCTTGAGGTCTCTGAAGGAGAACCACTCACACCTACACCCTAGCTTCCGGGAAGGTCTACAATCCTCAGCATGCTTTGGCTTGTCAAGGTGCCACTTCAATCTTTACTTGGCATTCTCCTGTGTCTGTGTCTTCCTGTTGCTTCTTTTTATAAAGACACTGGTGACATTGGAATAATGGGAATGATCTTAAGTTTGTAAAGCCCTTATTTCCTATAATAGTTTCCCCAAATGTTCTCGGACTCTTCATAATCCCCCCTTTTCGATCCATTTTTCCATTGCCAAGTAATCAATATATATTATATTTGCATATAACCACACACATTCTCTCATATACTTAAAATCATCTCTAGATAACTTACACTAATACATGACAATGTAAGTGCTTTGTAAATAGTTGTTATACTGCTCTGTTATTGAGGGAATGGTAGGAAAAATATGTATTTCAGTACACGTTTTTGTGTATGTATAGTGCTGGAGATCAAACCTAGGGCTTCACACGTTAAGCACATGTACTACTACCAAGCACTCCATATATTTTTAATCCAAAGTGGGTTGAATCCACTGAAGTGGAACCTGCTCAGATAGAGTAACAACTGTCTCTTTGAGGAGTGGGGCTGGCTTCTTCCACTTAGCCTTAGTATTTGTGAGACTTATGTTTTTACATGGATTCCTTTTTATTGCTGAGAAACATTTGATTGCATGAATATACCACAACTTCTGAATTTACCTGATAAAATTTGGGTCATTTCCTGTTTAGGGCTATTTCAAATAAAAATGTGGTGGGCAATAGCAGTCAGGCTCTTGTACATGTTTTACTTTTTCTTAAAAATTTGGACGTGGGGGCACATATTGTTCTTCCACTGGACAGGGGGGAGTTTAGTTCCCAGCAGCCATGTAAGGCAGCTTACAACTGCCTATAACTCTAGCTATAGTGGATCCAACATCTCTGACCTCCACTGGCACCATCACTCATGTGCACACACACATAATTAAAAATAAAGTCTTTATAAAAAATCTAGAAGTGTTGGGGCTGGAAAGATGGCTCAGTGGTTAAGAGCACTAACTACTCTTGCAGAGGGCCCAGGTTCGATTCCCAGCACCCACATGGTAGCTATGAACCATCCCTAACTCCAGTTCCAAGGGAATCCAAAGTCTTCCTCTGACCTCCACGGCATTGCATGACACAGGTGCACTCACATACATGCAGGCAATACACTCATACACATAAAATAAAAATAATAAATAAAAAAACTAGAAGTGGAATGGCTGAATCATCTGGTGTCTGGTTAAGAAACTGTCATGCAGTTTTCCAACAGCAGTTGTACCATTTTGCATTCTTACCAACAACATATGAAAAGTTCCAGTTGTTCTGCATTCTAGTCAACCCTTGGTATAATCTAATTTTAGGTTTTCTAATAGGTGTACGGTAGTATCTTTTTAAAATGTATTTTCCTGATTACTAAAAGTGTTGAAGATCTTTTGTGTGTGGTATAAATGTACTTGTTTCTGTGCACTCATATGCAGGGCAGTGGGGGTATATGCATGTGGGGGGGCATAGGTCAACGGATGTCTTCCTCAGTTACTCTCCACCTTATTTTTTAATATTTTTATGTGTATGCGTGTATTGCCTGCATGTAGGTAAGTGCACCCGTGTCGTGCAATGCCCGCGGAGGTCAGAAGAGGCTGTCGCATCCCCCGGAACTGGAGTTAGGGACAGATGTTAGCTGTCATCTGGCTGCTGGGATTCGAACCTGAATCTTCTGCAAGAACAACCAGTGTTCTTAACCGCTGAGCCATCTCTCCAGCCCCACCACCTTATTTTTATGTATATTTTATTGCATTTTTGCGCATTGCATACATCTCAATCATATTTAGACCACCTCCCCCATCCTCACCCCCCTCCCTACCGCCCCCAAGAGATTTCATGCATTGTCATATATGTTAAGGCCTATCCAGTCAAGCATTTTTACCCAGATGTCCCTCGGTACAAGTTCATCCTCCGTAGTCTAGTCAGTCTAACTAGTCATTTCCCTTAAAGAAGATCAACTCTCCCTCACCTAGCAGTTATCAGTTGTCAATAGTTCTTTGGCTAAAGTTGGGGCCTGCTGCCCATTTCCCCAATTCTATGTTAGGTTTTTGTCTGATTGAGTCTGCATGAGTCTTGTGCATGCTGTCACCATTGTTGTAAGTTCATATGAACACGTTCCCCCAAGGCCTGAAAACCTGTTTCCTTATGTTCCTACACCTATCCTCTTACGATCTTTCTGCCTCCTCTTCTGCAACGGTCCCTGAGCCATGGGTCTCTACCATATTTTTTGAGACAGGATGTCTCACTGAACCTGGAGCTCACTAATTCAGCTAGACTATCTGCCCAGAAATCTCTGGTATCCTCCTGTCTCCATCTCCCCAGAGTTGACACTACTAGCATGAGCCACTTGTGCCAGGCTTTTTATTTGAGCACTAGAGATCCAAATTCAGGTCCTCCATAACGACAGGGCAAGTGCTTTATCAACAGCACCATCCTCCCAGCCCCTGAATATCTCTTTATGTACTTGAGATCAGTGTATCTTTTCTTCATGAAATACCTGTTCAAATTTTAACACACCTGTGTTAATTTCTATCAAAACCCAACCAAAAAATCCCTAAGATTTTGATTGAGATTCTGTTGAGTTTTCACCAGTTTAGAAAAACTAGACAGAATTTAATAAACATAATTCTTACAACACAGTATGACTGTTTAAAAAATATTTCAGTGGTTTTTAAAAAATACATTTAATTTTTATTTTATATGTATGAATGTATTGCTTGAGTGCACCCTTGCTGTGCCCAAGGAGGTCAGAAGAGGGTGTAGGATCCCCTGGAACTGTAGTTAGAAAGGTTGTTGGCCACCTTGTGGGTGCTGGGCATCAAATCTAGGTCCTATGCAAGAGCAGTCAGTGCTCTTAACCACTGAGCTGTCTCTCCAAAACACCCACCCCTCACGCAGTGATTTTTTTTTCTTTTTTTAGTTTTCAGTATGTAGGTCTTACAGATTTCTCAATTTTATTAAGTATTTTATAATAATTGCTTACTACCATTGTGTAGTAATAGTTGTCTTGTATCCTGAAACCTTGCAAAACTCACTTGTTAGCTCAAATAGCTTTTCTGTAGAAGCAATCAGATTTCCTACATGGGAAATTTTGTAGCTGTATTACACATAGTGGATTTCATCTATGTGTAGCAGGCACTATATATGTCATCTTTTATTCTTAGCCTACCATTGTCCATAAGGGAATTAAAAACGAAGGGTTCAATGATTCTTTCAAAGTCTCACAGTTCAGAAATAGACGTCCGTGATCCCAGATCAAGATTTTCAGGACTCCTAAGCCTTTTTTTTTTTTTTTAACACGAATTTCCCTACTTCTATATGTTTTCCTTTACTGTCCAGGTTCTTCTAAAATTTAGGTGTTCCACAAAAAAATACACATGTAAGGCCCATGCTAAAGATGGTATTATTTTTATGTCTCTTGCCCTCACCAACATTCTGTACACTTTCCCTTAGGAAAAATACTTTCAGATCTACTTTCAGGCTTGCAAAAAACTTCATTCCAAGCTTACTCAGTTCCAGAGTTCCCTTTAGCGATCAAGGTCGCGAATTTCCCACCTCCCCGAAAGGCCCCAGGCTCCTCTCAGCCCTTCCCAGTTCGCTCACCGCTATCTACCCCTCCCGTTGGGGTAGGAAAGCGCTAAGACCAAGCCCACCCCTGGACCGCGTGCTGCCCGCGCAAACCACAGAGAGCGGGTGACGTTGGTATCGGAGACTAGAGCGGCGCGTCCGTGCTGTGACGTCACTCGTCCGCGCCGGTCCCCAATCCGGTTTCCGGCGGGAGCACTGACCGCCAGACGGAGTGAGGCTTTCCAGAGTGAGGCTTGCTTGCTGCTGGCAAGCCGCCCTACAGTTTCGGATGGTGCCCGCCAGAATGCCTCACTTGGAGAACTTGGTGCTCTGTCGGGAGGCCCAAGTGTCCACTTTGCAGTCCTTGTTCGGAGAGGTACTGTGCTTAGACTGTCTTTCCCACATCCTAGAACGCGTCCCTGGTCTGTTGCAGTTTGGGGGAGTAGTTTGTGAACTGCGAGGTAGTAGACCACCTTCGTAGTTGAGAGGGAGGGGCTTTGTGCTTCCCCACACTTTCCCAAAGTAACTTCTAAGTTCATTTCAAAGGAGACTGCTTAGGAAGCCCCCTCCCCCCCCACCCGCCCTGCAGGCGGTTGGCTAGGAGGTGGCCCTTCACACTGGCCACACTTTAGAGATGCTCTCAGCCCTGATTTGCTACGGGAAGTTGCTTATTATTTTTCCCCACCGACAAGATTTTTTTGTAGCATCTCTATGTGCAAAGTGTTAATCAAATGCAAGTTCCCGTGTTTCAATGAGGCATAAATGTAAGGCAATTACACAGAGGTGGTTGTCAGGGCCACTTAGAACAAACCCAGTCTTTTAGGCTTTGGCATCCTGCAGCTTTCCAGAATTGTAAAAGCCCAGAATAGGTGTGATGTAGGTTTTTCTCTTTGACTAGCAGATAAATGCTCTAGAGAAAACGTCCTTACTGGTAAGCTAGGGAATCCTTGCCCAAGAGGTAGCACTCAATTTCTGATGTGCCTGTTGCTTCATACTCATTAATTAGAATTTGTTAGAATGAGATACTATCAAGGAGGTGAATGAATACAAGTAACCATCAAGTTTGCTTTTTAAATGTACTTTGATCCAACTGAGTGGGAGGTGAGTCTGAGGTGACCCCCTGTGAAGTATTAATGGAAAAGTATTCCCCTTCATCTGAAGTTAAAGAAGAGGTCAACAGCTACATCTGTAGTGTTTTAGTTCTAGCACTTTCCATTATAGTTACCCCTATTACTGAAATATATTCATGTTCTATACCTTCTATCCCTGAACTGTTAAATCTAGATAACTCCAAATGAACGTGCTGTTCCTGAAAAAGAGTATTAGCAAATAAAATTAGGTAATATTGACATAGTGTGGCTCACAAAAAAGGTTTTTATGCTTGCTTTTACAACAAATTATATTTAATCAAATTAATATCGTTTTTCTGCAAGATGGTTTGCATTTGGAAAATACAAAGAACCTCTATGACAAAGAACTACCAAAAGACTAACTCATGTTTCTAAGAAGATTTATTTGTTCAACAAGTAAAAGTTTCCTAAGCACCTTCTAGGTATCAGATACTGGGCCAGATTCTGGCTTAAGTTGTTGAAGAGGTTTCTAAAAGTGAAAAGTTAATTTCACTATAATTCTATGTAACAGGAGAAAAGTTGTTATAAAGGAGAATGTTATTAGACATCACATAGTGGACACAGACCAGTGTGGTAGATTCTAGAAAAGCAGATTTAGTATAGCTTTGAAAAAAAGCTCTTGAACATGGTTTTGAGTTTCTTTGTGAAGGTAAATAATATTTGTAATTATTTTTAAAATGTGTTCCCTCACTAGACTATAAATCCTTCAGAATAGAAGGATTTACTGATATTTACACTCTTAAATACCTTACAGTTTTTAGCATTTAGTGGGTATCTCATAAGTATTCATCGAATAAGTAAAGCATATTGGCAGCATTGGATAGACCAATAGAGGGGTCTTTGATAATTAACTGGCTCAAATCCAGGGCCTTGCTCATGCTGTACAAGTGCTATACCACGGAGCTACTCTCTTCTATCCAGTGTGTGTGTGTCTGTGTGTGTGTGTGTGTGTGTGTGTGTGTGTGTATTTAAATATATTTCTATGTAGATTTCATCAGTGTTTGATTTGATGAAATACATATTTATGCCAGAGTAAATGATTATGCATGATTCAGATGTATTCTGTAAGGTTTCCTAAAAGTAAGGCTTCAAGCTGTCTTTTAACCCTGTGTTAAATGGGTTTAGTTTCCCACATTAAAATGTAGAGTAAAATTTTGTCTCACAAAGACATTGATTCTTTGAAAAGGATTAGACTGAAAATGTAGTGCAGACAAAATTATCCTTGAAAATTCCCTTAAATCTTCTTAAAAAGTTGAGAATGCATGAGTTTGTATATGAAAGCCTGTATACTAATAAAAGTATGAGTATGTAATATGCATATAATAGCCTAATGTAATTTTACAGAATATTTTCATAAGGGAAACTGCTCAAAGTTCAGTTTAATTTCAAAATGTGAAGAATTCACTATATTTGCACTTTTGAAGTAATTTGGATTCAGTATTTTATCTTACCACTAAGACTTTGGCCCACTAGCCCAGTGTGGTAGTGATTCCTTTAATCCCAGCACTCAGAAAGCAGAGGCAAGTGGATCTTTGTGAGATCAAGGCCAGCCTGGTCTACAGAGAGAGTTCCAGGCTATATGGGGCTACAGGGTGACCCTGTCTCAAAACAGACTTTCTCCAAGTTGATGAATATTCATTTACTATTCCTTATAGAGAGATACTTGTCTTTTCTTCCCTAGAGACATCATTTCAGCTTTCCATCCATTTTTATTTACGGACACACTGCCAGTGGGAAGACCTATGTAACACAAACTTTGCTGAAAACTTTAGAGGTAAGAATAACCCTAAATTTGATGTGAATTGACTTTTACTCGTAGATTCCTAGAGATGAATCTTTTTAGTCCAGCTTACCTTTCTCTAGAGTATCATCTATATAAAGCATTTCTGACCAAATTTTATTTGGATAACTTTAATGAGTATAAACTTCAAAAGCCATTAGTCATTAAATAACTTGAGCCCTGACCCTAGAAAGTTATTTTTTAAATTAAGCCAAATTTTCCTCTCCCTTTCGTTGCCTGACAGTTGGAGACATAAGTAACAAATTATTTTTAAAATACTAAAATTTGTTTCTTTTACACTATAAAATCTGCTTGTCACTTTCCCTTTGTAATACTGATACTGATAGTTATGAACTTTCACAAATGCAAAACTGAACATCACTTTCTTCTCAGAGTTCCTATCTCGATGAATAATCTTCACTGTTGACACAGTTGCTGTTTCTTGGCCCTTTTCCTATCCTCACTCATGCAGTAAAGCAAGCCATTAAATATATTCCTGATTCTATGCTCTTAAAGTCATGACTTATCTGCCTTTCATCATAGCCATGGTTGCTATCTCAGTTTTCACTTGCTGTTGCAATTTCCGGGTGTTCGTGCAGGTGTCCTAATTGCACACTCTTCATCCTGCCACCTACTCATGTAAATGTTACGTAAGATCTGCAAGATAATGTTGAGGTGATTTGCCTGATGAAGACTTCATGAACTGAATTTGACTGATCTTTCCTAATATAATGGTTAAGAGTTTGGACAGTAGTCTGGCAGACTCATGTTCCTTTTCTGAATTCACCATCTTGTGCCTTCCCCTGTCTGTAAACTGGAGCATATGACAGCATTTGGGATTGTTATGAAAAGTAAACATGAATGCGTGAAAAATGTATTGCAGTACTTAGTGTTTTATAAGAGTTTAATAAAAGCTAGATGTGACTTTTTATGACTATTACCATATACCTGTTTATATCCTAAGCCAGCTGGAGGCGATATCTATTTAAGTGGGCATGGCTATGATCCACAGGAACTGAGTATACAGAAACAGATGGCCAACCCACAACCTTCAGTTTGCTAGTCTAGTCTTAGTTTAGTTCTGAGGATACATGTTGTAGATGGACTGCTGAACTGCTTACAGTTCCTGCTTTGTTTCAGATCTTGGCAACGCTGCTCCCTTTTGTTGGAATGGCTTTACTCGACCTCCTTCTGCTATCCTATTGCTTGACATGTTTATTTATTTTGCCAGGTTTTTTAATTTACGTTTAAATGCTTCCTATCCTATGTTAAGATGCCTCACTGATTTGTAGCCTCAACACTAAGAGTTTTATTTTGTCACAATATTTAGCCCTCTGAGCTTTGATTTTTGTCTTATGTTTTCCTGGCTTTAGACTGTGAGTTTTTATATTATCTCCAGTACCAAGCACTATGGTTGGCACATTTTAAGTTGTAGATACTAGCCTTTGAACCCAAAGATCAACTGTTCATTTTAAACACATAGATCTCTGAGTTTCATGCCTAACTTCAGAATCTGAATGTAGGCCAGAAATTTGTATTTGAAAACCTGTGTATGAAGAATTCAAAAACACATGATGAATGAAAGCCTGAAAATCCAATAAGGGAATTTCATATTTAAGGGCTGTATAATATTCTTTGACATTTTATAATTCTTGCTATCACTTAATTGGTATAAGATATGATTATCACTACTTCTGGTATAGATACACAAATATGTTCTTAGAAATTGCTGTTATTAATGTCCAGGATAGCACAAAAGTAAACAAATTACTTAACAGAAACATAAAAATTCTTTCTTCTACCTAAAGAAATGAGGGTGAAAAGGGTTAGTAAATAATGATGGCACTGCTCACGGATATATAATCTCCCCTTTTACACTGGTACTCAGAAAGGAAAAAAAAAAAAAACTTCTCACCAAAAATCATTATAGGTTTTATTGTATACCAAGTGGCACAAGTTATCTTCCTCTTACTGATCAGCACTGCTTTTATGATTTCATTTAAAAACAGACTATATTTGTTTTGCTTCTTATTTCTTATGGAATTGCCTCATTTTGATCATTCTTTAAATATAAAATTAGTACTTATAATTCTTATATAAGGATTATTGTGGTTTCTAACTCTTAAAAATTTTTTTTGGAGGCTAGAGATATGGCTCAGTGGCTAACAACCACCTGTAACTAGTTCCAAGGGATCTGACTCTCTTCTGACCTCTGGACATTGCATGACACCATTGCATTTACATACATGCACTCAGCACACTCATGTGCATAAAATTTTTAAAAAATAAAATACAAAAAAAAATTTTTTTGACTTAGGGCCTTCCATCATGAAAGATAATAATCTTAAAGATATAAATTCAAAATTCCCACTAAGAATTTTAACATTCAAAAGTACCTGGCTTTCTTTATAATAATGCATTAGAGGAAAATGCAAGCTTATTTTGAGTGCCTATAGGCAACAAATGAAAAACTCAAGTCATTGAAGTGATTTAAGGAAGGGACTTGTTATAGAGGTTGAGGTTGCTTTAAGTGAATCAGGAAGGAATGGTGCTTCATCTTGGCCTGTATTACCCTAGACCTTAAGGTACCTTAGACAGTAGCTGTTACAGACCCAGCAAGAGCTTATGAGAGGAAGTACCCAACTAGGGCTGTGGACTTTGGTAGAAGAATATAGATACTGCCAAACTGGACCTTGAGTTGGGTTGTCAGTGGAACAACCCCCTTCTACAACTCACCTTCAGGTTCTTGCTGCTTCTTCCTTTTGACATCTTTAACCACGGCCAGAGTAAGGGCCTAGGTGATGAAATTTCTGTTAGTCAGATTTCTGGGTCACAGGGTAGGAGACCAGTGGGGTACACATTCAGAACGGTAAGTAGAGAATATCCAACAGAGACTATTGTATGTGCTTGTCAGTTATACTTTCGTTTTTGTTTTCAGCTTCCACATGCCTTCGTGAATTGTGTTGAATGCTTTACTTTGAGGCTCCTTTTGGAACAAATTTTAAACAAGTTGAGTCATCTTAGTTCTTCAGAGGAGGGATGTTCTACAGAAATAACCTGTGAAACATTTAATGACTTTGTTCGCTTGTTTAAGCAACTAACCAAAGCTGAAAATCTCAAGGATCAGACTGTGTATATTGTAAGTAATTTACTAGATTATATCATCTTTAATTTGAAAACCAATTGTGCATTAGATCAATTTCCATATATTTGTTCTTGAGTCCAATTTATATAGTGCTCTGCAGATGGTGCTTTTGTGATATAAAAATTTATCAGAACTACTCTCTATCTACAGGGAGCTTTGCTTAACAGACCTTATAATCCATATTCACGTATGACCACATGCAGAATGTGATAAGTGATAGCCATGGCATACTGAAGTACTAAAGTGGATCTGGTACAGCTTCTTGCGGTGATAAGATTTGAGATAGACTTAAAGAATGACTAGGGTTATATTAGTTACTTTCTCATTGCTGGAATCAGATGCCTGACAAGAAGCAACTTAAGGGAGGAATGGTTTGTTTAGGTTTAGTTCTAAGTGATAAATCCATCATGATGGGGAGATCTAGTGGCAGAAGTGGGGGGAGCTGGTCACATTGTATCCATAGCCAGGAACCAGAGAGTTGGTATTCAGCTTGCTTTCTTCTTATTTATCCCATGATCCTATCCTGTGGGATAGTGCTACCCACATGCAGGGTGGGTCTTGCCTGATCAGTAAACCTTTCTAGAAACACCCTCATAGAAGCACCCACAAGTACTTTTCTGTGGTGTTTCTAAATCCCATCAAGGTGGCCATCAAGATTAGCTATGACAAGGGTGTTAGAAGATGGAACTAGGGAAGTGAAGGCCAGAGCCTGGGACACCAATGGGGTGGCGGAGGGGGGCGGGTTGTCTGTGTGAGCCCCCGCCCAAGTAACAATGCCGCCCCGGAGCCACGTTGGAGGCCTCCCTCCACACTGAGTGTCTCTTTGCATAGTGCCAGCCCTGCCCCCACGCTTACTGGTGCCACTAAGGTGCATCAGGCCGTGGCCTGTCAGGGAGGTACAGCATAACCCAGTGGACCAGCCGCTGGAAACAAGATCTGTCAGTTTAAGCTGGTCTTGCTGTGGGAATCTACAGTGGGCAAATCTAGCCTTGTCCTCCACTTTGTCAAAGGACAATTCCATGAGTACCAGGAGAGTTCAATTGGAGCAGCCTTCCTCACACAGACTGTCTGCTTAGATGATACAACAGTCAAGATTGAGATCTGGGACACAGCCTGACAGGACGCTATCACAGCCTAGCCCCCATGTACTACCGGAGGGGGGGGTTGTCCCAGGCAGCTGTTGTGGCCTATGACATCACCAATACAGATATATTTGCATGGGCCAAGAATTGGGTGAAGGAGTTACAGAGGCAGGCCAGCCCCAACATTGTCATCGTAGTGGCGGGTAACAAGGCAGACCTGGCCAGCAAGAGAATCGTGGCGTTCCAGGAAGCACAAGCCTATGCAGATGATAACTGTCTGCTGTTCATGGAGACATCAGCAAAGACTGCAAGGAACGTGAATGAAATTTTCATGGCAATAGCTAAGAAGCGTCCCAGGAACAAGCCCCAGAATGCAGCTAGTGCTCCAGGCCGGAACCGAGGTGTGGATCTGCAGAACAGCCCAGCTAGCCGGAGCCAGTACTGCAGCAACTGAGCCTACCTTGCCTTCCACTGCCCCAGCTCGTCTGCCAGAATGACCAGACTGGAGCCCTCTCTAACCAGTCGCACTTAACCACTTGGGCCACCGCCGGGAGCAAGGGGGGCGGGGGTCCATCATGGTTTCTCCGAGTTCCTTTGCTCCAAGGCCAGAGGGAGTTATTCCGCCTGCACCTTTCTGTACAAATACTAATTCTAAGTCTTAGTCACTTTTTTAATATATATGATCTTCTGCTCTTCCCACTTCCCCCTCTCCACTGCTCTCCCACTTGTCCTTTGCTGATAGTAGCCATGTGCTCCTGTCTCCCCCCATCTGTGGGGATGAGGGTTGGAGCAGTTACCCTTTCTTACCCTCTTGCTGGAAAGTAGACTCAACAAGAGCATACACAGCATACCTTGTTGGGAGTGGGCTTGGTCCAGGGCAGTGGGCAGGCCCTGAGCTGGGGAAGGGTCAGGCAGCTCTTCCCTCAGCTGGCTGTCATCAGGCTGCACCTTCCTACCCACCCAACTCCCAGCTGGGAGAGAAATCACAGCATTACTGCAGCATCATTTGTGACAGCCACACATCCATTCATCGCCCACATCCTCTCCAGCCTTGGTCACCCTGACCTCTGACCATGAGCCCTGTTCTGACCAAATCATGATGATGAGTATTTGGGGGTGGGTGGGTAAGGGGGGAAGTGAGAGGGAATGGAACCAACTTTTCTGTATTTTGTATTGTATGTTTTCTTCAACGTATAACCAATCAGTATCTTGTCAATATAGTCAGCTGATCAGTCGACCTCAAAAAAAAAAAAAAAAAGATGGAACTAAAGAAGAGTTTCAGATAGAGGGGATTGTAAAACCAAAGGCAAGTGGAAATGGAGGTTTAGAGAGTTCTCTTTCAGTGGGTTATAAAGTAAGAAGGAAGGAAATGAAGACTTAGGAAGCTCATTTGGAACCAGATCCTAGAGGGTCTTGGGTGGTACAAAAGAACTTTCATTTCCCAAGTAGTGAAGAGAGATAGTGAAAATTTTAGAGCAAGAAGGGGGCTGGGGAGATTTCTTAGAGGTTAAGAACACTGGTTGTTCTTGCAGAAGATCCGGGTTTGAATCCCAGCACTCATGTGGTAGCTAATAACTGTCTGTAACTCCAGTTCCAGGGGATCCGACAGCCTCTTCTGTCCTCCGTGGCCATTGCACGACACAGATGCACTTACCTATATTCAGGCAATACATGCGTACACATAAAATAAAAATAATAGATAATATTTTTTAAAAAGAAAAAAAAAAATTTAGAGCAACGAATATACCTGAGTAGACGACTGTTAGCAAGACTACTGTACAGAGACATGTTAAATAGGTTGATTGGAGGAAAATGCAAGTCTTCAAATTTGAAAGAGTGGGTTTGAGACTGTTGTGACTGAATATAAGAGGTAATTTGGGTCAGTACAAGATTTGAGTGAGAAGATGCAAAAAGAAATAAAGAGATTGCAAAGGTGAAATTTGTCACATATGTTTGAGTTTCGTTTGTGGAAAAAGATGAATTGTCTTGATTTCAGGTGGGCTAAGTTGAATTGTTATATCAATGTGAAACTGAGTAGGAGATAATTAAAAATAAGTGCAGTAGACCCCTCTGCCCACTAGGGATGTATTCTAAAAATTTTAGTCACCGAATAGGTACCTAAAAATCTTGATTCATGTTCCTTGTAGAATAGGGTATGATGGTAGGAAATTTTAGCCCACCACTCAGAATAGCATGCAATTTAAAACTTATGAATTATTTCTAGAATTTTCCAGTTAATAATTTTGGACTTTGATTGACCATAAGTAACTGGAACTACAGCCAGCAAACATGTATTATCAGGGGACTACTATAACGTATTTTAGTGAATTTTTCATTATGTTTTAACCTTTTGGGTGGGGCAGTTTGGTCTTTTTTTTTTTTTAATTGTTTTTCCATGTGTTTTGCTTTTATGTGTGTCACATGTGTGCAAACCTACAGAGGCCAGAAGAGGGAGTTCTGGAACTATAGTTACAGACAGTTGTTAGCTGCTGTGACGGTGCTGGGAACCAAACCTAGGTCTACTAGAAGAATAACAAGTACTCTTAACTGCTGAGCCATCTCCAGCCCCGATGCTTTAACCTTTTTAAAAGACATGATTCACTTAAGTAAGCATTAAGTTTCTGTGAAAAGGTTTATTATAACAACTATATTATAAATTCACTAGAGACCAAATCATATATTGTTTTCATTTTCTAAGTTTTTATAGTTTTTATTGTATTTTCTACATTTCCTTCTATAATTTAGTTTTGCTGATTTACTCAGCAGTTGAAGGGGAATATAGGAGTTGGAGGAGGGAAATGGGAGTGATGGTTATGATCATGTTTTATTATATACATGTATCAGATTCTCAAAGAATAAACAAAAAGTACTGAACAAAACCATTTGAATACTTACTCAGTTTTGAGGACTGCCTATATATCAGGGACACCTATTCTAGGTCTTGGAGGTAGCACAGCAAACAAAATAGCCTCTGCTGACTTACAGCTTGTCACATTCAGAAAGAGTTAATAAATAAACCTGTATATTAGTTCTGATACATTCTGGAAATCAAGTAAGGGAGAACTAAGGGAGGCTTTGCTAAATAGGAGAAATTTCACCAAGATCTTAGTTAAAACCTGAAAACATTGCTGGAGAAGTCATGAGCACGTTCGTGCAGCATATTCTAGGTAAAGAGATAAATGAGAATACAAAGGAAGTTAGATCATGCCTTGTATAGTCCAGGAATGTCATAGAAGCTGTTCTGATAGGAGTAAGGGAGAATGTGGTAGTAGGAGAGTGGTAGGAATCAACTGATGGGTGAAAGGGTAGAAGCCTGCATGCTAGTGATACAGGTTGAATTGTTTTCCAAAAGAGTTATGTATTGAAGTTCTAGCCCCTGTTACTATGGAATAGAGGCCATTCTAATGTGACAACCAAGGTACTGGAGGAAGACAGGCTCCTGATTCAATATGATTTGCAAAAAATGTTTTTTGCTGGTGGTAGACTCTGTCTCTCTGTCTCTGTCTCTCTCTCTCTCTCTCTCTCTCTCTCTCTCATTTGTTCACTCACTCATTCTCATACACACTGGGAGTTATACTACCACAAACCAAAGAACTACCAGAATGTAGGAGAAAGGTCCTGTTTGTGATATTTTATTGTGGCATCTTGTGATGTTGTGGTATAATAAGAAATATCTATATATTTGTTGCGCTTCCTGTTTCCTGACCTACAGTTCCAAAACTGATTGATGTTTCGAAAGTGATGTGTCTTTTCTTTTTTGACTAAGAAATTGACTTTTGACTAGGGGTTTCTGGATAGCCTCGGTATTGGTGCTGGTTATCAGTGAAACTAGTAGTGTATTTAGAGGGGTGGAACTTTCAGAAGACTTGACCAAGCTGTCCTTTTCCTGCTCTATGGCCAGAGAGAGCACCT